GATGATACCCAATTTAACCCCAACAATAGAGTTTTATAAAGAAAATTGTTTGTGGTCTGTTTTTGTTTGATCATTAATTTGTGACCAAGTTAGAAGTGTGGTAGTTTGAAACAGTAGGGAATCAAATTTGAGTGACTCGTTCAATGTTTTAAAAGGCGAAGGCTCAAGCAAAATGTTTCATCGTTAGCCCCACCTAGGCAAAGGTCTTGAAGCGTGAGGCAAAGCCTTACTGGATTTAAATAACTGGGGACTGCTATGGGTTATTAAGAAAAAACGGGAGACTATTGTAGGTTATTAAAAAAAATGACTTGGCCAAAACGACATGAAGAAGAAAACTTTTTTTTTTATGACAAATGATAGTATCTACACTAAGGTGGTGGGGAAACTATCGTTTGTTCAAAAAAGATTTCTTAGAAAAAAAAAAATTTCTTCTTCTTCGCGAAGACGTCACCGCACAATAACAATTATAAACTAGAGGACAAAGCCCTTTGATTTCGATTTCGGATCACTGATGGATCTAGGAACACCCAATCAATCGCCTCAGGCATGCATCGACCACATCTAAGCGAGTTTTCGCCTACTCCCACTGGGTAGGTGTTATCACTCCTACCCCGTCTCCAAAGCCACCTAGGCGCACCTCGGGGTGTGTTTTTTAAAACATTAGACTCATTACATATAAAGAGTCAAGTAGTGTTCAAATGTTAGCAATCATTCCTTCTTGCAGACAAATCAGAATTTGAGTGATTCATTACGTGTCAGGAGCCAAACAATATTAAAGATAAAAACACTTTTTAATAAACTCCCTGCTTAGTAGGTTACGAGTAAATCAAACCCCAAAAAGGGAAAAAAAATGGTTATGCAAAGATTTTGAATAAAAATTCAATTTATGCTTACAAGACCAATTATTTCTTAAATTCATATATTTCCATGAGGTAGTTTGGGCCTCGTAGAAATGCAAAGGTAACACAATTCACCATTTGAGCCGCAAAGCCTACTTCCAATAGAAGGATTAATTTTGTCAACCATCCACCAAATAACAGTATATAGATACTAGGAATAGCAAAATGGAAATTCCGAAGAAAACAAAAATAAAGCACCAGCACCCCGAGGATTTACAAAAGTGTAGCAACAGAATTTCAGCAACAATGGACTCAAAATATCGGGATCATAAACAGTGACCCGGACTCCATCAAGGTTTCCTTCCGGCAGTGAATCATCTCCGACATCAGTGTTGCCGCCAGAACGCCAAAATCAACTTTCAACCATTGGTTCGGGGTCAGAAGATGGTTCTGTGAGAGATGGCTGTAGGAGAGATCTGTTGGATTGGCGTACAGAATTGAAAAGAATGTCCTTGATAACCTGAGCAAAGACAAATAAGAGCAACTGTGTTAATTAAGAACAAATTGGACGTTGCTATAAGAATCCACTGCACAAGCAAACAGAGTATATATGAAAATTGGCACGGCCAGGGGTTACCTGTGACATCAGACCATGCACCTGCTCGACAGTTATCTTTGCACTGTCACGAGTAATTTTGGCAAGTTGGGATTCTTCCTGCAAATTCATGAAGCCATTCAAATTCAACTACTGGCAATACAGGTAATCAGCGTGAATGATGGTTAAATAATAACAAGATTCTCATTATGTAACATTCTTCTCTTAATCACAAATCTCTCCTGCACATGAATGAAATCACCCAGGCATGCATTCTAACATTACCTGGATCTAAAATGCCTATCTATATGGGGGCAAGTGGGACCCATATAGAAACGATAGCAGAAGAAAAACTGTGGGTACTATAATTCTAAACAGTTGAATTTGTTGAACAAAAACGTTTTTTTTTTCATGAGTGGCAGGCAAACAAGTTGAATTTCCATATAGCATGATATCCAGTGGCTGCTAAATTTTAAAACAGAATCCAATGTTCCAGAGAAGATTCAAAAGTGCTATATTTTTGTTTTCCTGGTTTCTTTTGGAAAAATAAATAAATACAAAAACCTAAAAACTGTTTCAAAGCTGAGAACAAGAATCAAGAATGCAAGAAACAACACAAAGGCCAGTCCACATGATTCTCAGACTAGGCAAATAATTTGGTTCTTTATCCTTTTGTTTTTCTTCTTAATATCTACAGAACTAGGTATACATATATTTATCAGTTTGGTTTCATGAAAGAGAGAATAGAACTCAATGATAAGGGAGAATGACACTATGTTCACACATCAAGTTTGCATGTAAATCCACTCATAGACATGTAGAATGACGAATTTTATAAATGTGTATTTTGCTTAGACTAGATGAATATAAGGAATGACGAATTATATATATATATATATATATATATATATATATATATGAGTAACAGATTCCACTTAGCAGTTATACGTGTATGGTCCAAATCCATTTAAAAGATAGCTCTTCTAAATCAAATGAGCGAGATAGAGGGAAATGGGAAGAGAGACTTACCTCTCTCTTTCTTTGTGGGGGTGTTATTAATGGCCCAAAGCGAGAATGAGCCAAATGATTCTCCGCTTGCTCTAGCTTTTCAGCTGGCATGATGCAAAGAACACAACTTAATATTCAGTAAATAATCTAAGGTATATGGAAAATACTTGAATAGGTAATATGGACAGGTAAGAAAGTACCTAGATCAGAAATTTGTCCAGCAACATAGTCTCCATTACCCAATAAAGGTGAGGAAGAAAGAGTATTCACCCAATACTTGTTCCAGAGCAGATCCAAGAGGTGAGTGTCAAGAGAAGACTTGAAATAAGTGATATCCAGAGAATAATACTGCATACACAAATACAAAAGAAGTTTCAGATAGTAACAAACCAAAGTTCCGCATAAGAACTCTAGGATAATAACATCATACCTGTTTACAGTGAACACCAAAGTCCTCAATTTTGTTCAGAGGAATGGTCTGATACTCGGAGACAGGATCGTCTGGAGGCTTATATCCATCTGGGTACGTCCTGAATGCACCAATGTCAACTTTTCCAGCAGACACTGTCCGAGTTGGATCAATAACAACAGCCAAAAAGGGCTCCTGATATTGCTGGTTAAGCATCTGCGTCGAAACATCAATACCCGAGAGCCAGCATCCATAACCCGGATGAGAATGGTACCACCCAACCACATTCTCCAACCGCCCCGCCTAGGCAATAAAACACTCAGTAAGCGGATTAACCTTGCACAAATAGAACTAATATATGGACTCCAATACAATAACCCTACTCCACCAATTAACAACAACAAAATTTGAGAAACTATATGTCCCAACACAAACCCCACTAAGAAACCTAGCAAATTCAATTTCTCAGCAACTATGTACGAAAAGAGCAGCAACTCAATGACGCAATAGCCCAACAACAGCAGCAATTAGGGTTTCTGAAAGCCCAAAAGTTCATGCCTTAAACATTGAAAAACACAAATAATTTGAAAAAAAAATCTAAAAAATCACAAACCTGCTTATTGGTTTGGGAATAATCCACCATATACTCATAGGCATCAGCCTGAGCATTAACCCTAGTCTCAGTCCCTTCAACAGGCAAAGCAAAAGCGTCCATGACGATAATGGCGTCGCCGTCGGTCTTGCCCTGCATGAGGCCCATGACCTCGATGGTCCCGCCAGACCGGGCGTGCACAACCATCTTCAAGAGCGCGAGGGCGGAGATCTTGACGCGCTTGAAGTAGTGGGGGTCGTTGGCCCAGGGCTTCTCCTGCTGGAACTTGACCTGAGCCGCCTCGTCGTAGTAGAATATGGCGTCGGCCGTCGGGTCCGCCTTCGGCTTCGCCACGCTCGGCGGCGTGTCCATGGGGATTACGTTGTTCTCGAGCTCCCATGTCTGCTGGGCTATTTGCGCGTCCATGGTGTTTGCGAAAATGTCTCTGAGAGACACCACTGCGTCCTTTGATGTTAATGTAATTAAGCGAAGTCGATTTCTACTAAGAAAATAAATAAATCGCCATTGGGCTGCCTTTTGTGTTTTTAGGGCTCCTTCGGAGAAGAGAAAGCCCAAGGAGCAAAAAATAGTTTTTATTATTATTATTATTATTTTATTTTTTAAAGATCGATATTATATTTTAAACAAGGGTGCAACTTGGCCGGATTGGTTGGATTAGATGGTCAACTAATCCAAACCCAACATTTGGGTTTGGGTGGGGTTCAAGTTCATGCAAGTTTATTTGAGTTCGAGTTTAAATTGTGCTCGGGCTTACTTAAGTTGGATTCGAGTTTGCCCAACTTTATTGAGTTCAATTTTATAACACCTTATTTTGTAAAATATTTCAAATTTTCATCAAACAATGTCAATATATATTAGTTAAAATTACAATTTTACACCATCATAATCCATACGGATGTTAAACCAAATAGTGTGGAGACCACTTCTAATATTTCAACCATGCGAAGTTGAAATAAAATTACAAGAGACTACCAAAAGAAAGGTAAAAGAAACATTATCATTCATTGTTCAAATAAAACCCAACAACAAACTTCAATTATTGTCTTCCCTAAACTTGTACCTTCCTTATATTATAGGAAGCGGGATGAGTTTGCGTTGACATGGGCAGGCAAGAAATCAGCCAACCTAATAAATGATCGGGTTGATGTCGAATCGGGTTTGGGCGGGTTTTTACTTCATTCTAACAAGCTCGATCGGGTTTGAAACCAAGTGGGGCATGGGTGAATTCGGATTGACCAACCCAAGTTGCACACCTTCTTTAGACTAATTTACACGGTATGGGATTCAAATTTATGTGCTTAGTGAGTTGCACATCCACTGTAACCAATGTGACCATGTCCACGTCCATTGAAGCAAAAGATAGTTTGTTATGAACTGTTTTGCTGATTCTAGCTAATTGTAGCATAATAGCCTCTCTGCACGTGCAAACGCATTTGCTTGATTCTTTCCACTTGCAAATGTTGTGTTCTTTTTCTTTAGCAAAGGGGCCCAAAGCCAATTAGTGTAAATCATATGAAGGTCGAGAGATCCCGGCAGTATCAGCCACTATAAAATTGCCTACAAGGAGGAACAAAATCATTACAATTAGTGAGCCATGCAAATGCAAGGTTCACTCAACATGAGAAAATTTGGAGAGCTGTTACAACTTACAACACATTGTGCACACACTCAAACAGGCGGTTTTCACAATTCCAATCAATTAGGAACATTCTCTACAACATTTTAAGTCTAGCTAAACGTGGACAGAGACCCGTGGTGTAAATACCTGACGGTAATTCCTACCCTGTTCCTGTTGACATGGAATCCCAACAAAACGAAACACATTTGCCAAATTACATAAGTTAGTATACAATAAATTACACTGTAAGGTACAGAAACCACAATTCTGTGTCATTTGCCCCGCGACCTGCCTCTCCTGTTGGATCTAGTTGGTCTCTTTCCCTTCTGCTTCTCAACAACGTCAGTCTTGGCTACCGGGCTTGGCTGGGTCAGCTCCTGTGATAACTCATTGGGCATACTAGAGCTGTTTTGGGAGCCACTGGCAACGAAATCATTGTCCTTCGTGACATCAATATAATTTTCAATCAGTTCGTGGACCTCAAAAGTAGCTACATTCAAATGTGCGCCATCGTTTTCCTTTGTGGCACCAATATCGTTTCTGTTTTTGTTGGTGACCTCGCCAGTAGGTTCATTCAAAAACTCACGGTTATCATTTAAACTGACTGGATTACTTTCCCCATTGAGCATGGAGTTTTCTTCTGTGCCCAACTGTGCAGACAAACTGAAACGAAGAAAGGCAATGCAATAAGAGTATGCAGATAATGCAGCACCAAAACAATGACATCAACAACCGCTTACTCAGCTACTGAAGAACGGAAACCATTTGTGGTATAAGCACTTCTTGATGCAGTTGCTTCTGTTGTCAAGCACGTTACATCGTGTAATTTTGAATCTGAAACTGAAAAGTAAATAGAATATAAATACGAACGCTTGATGCACAACCAAAATGCTTAGTCAAATGTCAACTACTATCCAACAACTGAACTTCAAAGATTTATGAATGGCATCTTTCAGACTCGATAAATTATTCAGTACAAAATATAACTGTGTCATCCAAGCTACGTACATAGTGTTCTATCCCAATAAAACAATGATATAACTGGAATTGTATTACTTGCTGACACAATATGGTGAGAGTATATGCATGACACGTCAAGTAAAATAGTTTTAGCTGATAGGTTGATAGCACATATAATTCCATTGGAAACGAAGTCCAAGTGAGATGAACTTGTCCTCCCACAGTATCTAGTTTTTTGAGCAAGTCTACCTGGATAAAGTGTTGACGTTCAGAGTTTCAAGCACATATACTTAACGATGATATACTACCGAACAGTAAAGACACAGTTCACACTAGTTATTCAGCCAGACAAAAAATTCCTTTGCTACATATACATATTAGTACAATACATTTGAATGCCGAAATGGCCAGCACAATATCAAACATATAACCTATACGATAACAACACAAATGTGTATGCTTATATAACCCACACAACGACGGGGTCGAAAAAGTTCACCTTGTATGGTTCCTCCGACCACTGAATTTTGTTGTTCAGACCCATTAGTGTGCTTATGTCCATCAAAATCACCAGCACCAGCATCACTGTGACATACAAGGGGAATTGAATGTGATAAGCCAAACAAATATCGAGGGTACAAGATGGAAAAATAAAGGAGGAGGGGGAGAAGGGGAAGGAAAGGGGGAAAGGGGGAAAGGGGGAAAGGGGGAAAGGGGGAAAGGGGGGGGGGGGGGGGGGGGGGGGAAGACGGGGGGAAGGTGAAGGAAAGATCAAAATCACCGACCCAAACTGTACAGAATGGGAGTTGGGCGCAGCTTGGCCCTTGTATCAGACATGCTCAACAATAGTAGTTACTAATATGAGGATGCTAGGAAAATGAAATATCAACTAATTCTTGTAATTTTTAAGTTTTTATTTAGAACTGCTCCTCAAACACAGGAGCCGTGGTATTCGGAGACAAAGAGTAGATGTTGCCTGACAAGTATTGCTGTGTCTTACCATGCTGAGGTCAGATGACACCTTTAAGTAAACTACAAGTTGACATGCATAAACAACAATTTTAGGTTAACCACAAGCTGATATTTGAAGAATCATAAGGTTGCTTTCAAATGGAACCTGTAATCTAATAACGATTTTTGGGTATGCATTGAATAATTTTTTAAGAAGCTATAAGAATTAGTTGACAGAAGTTTTCTTGGCTAAATAAGATACAATTCCGTGAAGGAGCAAACCTGGGAGCAGTCTTGATATCTTCAGATGCCTCGAGTTGTTGTCCAGAGCTTAACATCTCTTCTAAGGCATTCTGAGAACCTATTTGATGGACAAACTTAGTGAGTAAAAGATGAATTAAAGGTATAGTATACTCATACATATGCATTAATATGAATGTCCAAAGGAAGAAGATAAAAGTGAAAATTACAAGAAGCATCACCCTTGCCACCCATAGAAGCGGCATCTGAATCCTTCACAAAAAGAAAAGAAAAGGTTATAACAAGACATCTGGTAGCGCAATCTTTATCAGACTTAAAGAAAAAATAAATAAACCATATGTTAGTAGTCAAATTGCAACAAAATGATACATATGCCTAAACAGTTGTGGTGATTTTCTTCAGAACTGATAATTACCGGAAGTGGCAAATCTTCTTTCTGCAATCCATATTGTGTCTTCTCCGAAACTGAGAAAGCAGAAGATGGGTTATTTCCTATAATTTATTTTCCTTATACTCTAAAAATTTATAGGGGAGTGTTACTAGCATTCCAAAGTAGTCATCTTAAAACTACTCTTTTGTTCATTTTTCTATAAACTCATTTTCGTTGAAGTGTTTATGGAAATTGTTGAATTAAGAAAGTTTTTAATTGGTTGACTGAAGAGAAAGAGAATCCCTAGTGTCTTCCCCAAAACTCTACGAGCAGAAGATAAGTTCCCACATGTTAGTTTTATTATATTTAATTTCCTTATATTCTAGAAGTTCAAGGCAAGTGTTATTGGAACTCCGAAATAGTCATTTTGCACGACTGTCTCCTACGGTTTTTCTCCTTTCATTAATATCATCTTCATAGTAGGGTTAATGGAAATTGTATCAATAAATTCTGAGATTAAAATAATTGAAGAGAATATAAGGGAGGAACGTATGCAGACTATTTTGGAAAGCCAACAAAATCTCCCATAAACTATAAAATTATGCAACCTATTCATCTACTGATGACAGTGGATTATTGGACTAAACCAACAGATTTACTGCATTCCAGTCAAGAAAAGATACCGTTGGAGCCATTGGACGCAGTTATTCCTAAGGACAAGTTCAAATTCGAACCTACGGCATTTTTAGAATTGTGAAGTTTATCTCCCACATCATCTTCTCGTTGGCCACCCGGAAAAGAACCCAAGACACTTCTTTTTTCTAAAGCAGATGTGGACCAATCAATTCTTGTAGAAGGTAGGGACCTCAGCAGTTCTTCTGTTGCCTTAGATCGCACTCTTCGTATTTCCTCCTGAATATTCCAGGACCCTGTAGCAGGGGCATCCCTTTTCAGCTGCATTAAATTTTCAGATAGCACAATCAGCATATCAATAACGACATACATTCCCTAATTTCTGTTTCACTAACTAAAACACAGAACACGGAAAAAAAGAAAGAGAGAAACATGTGAGGTTCAACATCAACATCCACTGTCTTATTTATTAAGTTGCATTTTCAATTAATAAATAGTCACTACACATTTATATGAGAAAAAATTTCTGTCATGCTTCATGTTCCCAGATGTGAGTGACAACGCCGTCATTGGACCCAATAAGTTGTCTTGACACATCGATAAGTTCTCTGTGGATCCACTCTACTAGGTTAATGTTTTGGCTTGTCTGCCTAAATATTAAATCACTAACTTTTCAAGGGTGTCTCTGCATTTTACAACTTTACAACCTATCCTTGCTTACAAAACAAGCTATTCTTACTTGACCCAGCATACACAACAACCTGACATTTTTTTAGTCACTGCAAATCGACAGACTCCGTAACATCTGCAACTCAGCCTTGCTTTGCATAACACAGTTACACATAATACAATAACCAGAACTCCCCTAACCCACAAATCTTTCTGATTCAGAAAAAGTCATCATCCATTTAAACAACAAACACCCAATCTTAAACTGAGTTGGCTAGTCTTTGTTCACTTTGAAAGTCGATCTCCAGCCTCAAGCTTTGTCTCATACATTTATCATTAACCAAGACCTGGTATCTATATGGACTGGAGCAGTAAATAACCTCCCGTTAGCAATACTGTTTTGAGTTTAGAATCTACATCCTACCTGTCAGAAACCCAAAAGTGAAAAAGATATGATGAGAAAATTTCCAAATGATACCTTGGATGTAGACACAGAATTGCCACCAGTTGAATATGGGGTTTCTTCATTGAAAAGTTGCATCCCTATTGATGACGGAGATCTCAGTTCTCCATGCTTAATAGAAGGAGATGCCCATGGAGGACGTGCCCGCATATACACTTTGGCCACATCCACCGGTGAACCACCTTCGTCTTCACCACCCTGCCCCAACAGGATCAAATTAAAAATGTGATACATCAGACTTTGGTATGTCAACAAATTGCTAATATAAACTCAAGGAGAAGGTAATAGCATATATCTTCGATGTAGTTTTCTTTCATCAAAATATTAAAAAGCTTACAATTGCTTACAATTGCTTATTTGACATAAAAAGACAACTTATGGAAGATTTCACCCCAAAGATAAAATGCCAGACATGGGGAAAGAGACAGCACATGATAGCCATGATATAATACCAGAGGAAAGAGCACTAACTTGTGGGAACATAAGAGCGCTCAAGGTGTGGGTTCCATGATCCAAAACTGGCTTTGAAGTTGATCCCAATCTCTTCTCACTCAACCATTTTTTTGCCTTCATAACAGGACTCTCTACATCTGCAATGCAATTAATACCAAAGTTAAAAAGTAATAGGTAAAATTTCTAAACCTGTTTCACTGGAAACTGTTTTGTTAGGTGTCTCACCTGGTCTTGTATTCTCTGCACCTTCAGCATTGGTAAAACCTACGACTCTCGATTTAATAATCTTTAATAATCTATCACATTCTTCCCTGGTAAAAAACAAAGTTGAAGTCAAATAACTAGTTAATAGGAACGAAGAATAATTAGCAGAAAGGTTGCATGATACACAACAGTTTGTGGAAACCTCTCTATAACACAGATTTCAGACCAATACAGTATAGAACCCATAAAACATTATGTTCATGGTAGAGTGCTTATAAATTGAGGACAAGGCCAATGAATCAAGGCCTATCCTAGCCTTGAAGTGTGAAGAACCATCTTTTACTTTGATAGAAGAACCATGCCTAAGCACTAAACCTTAAGAAAATATTTCTAGAAATCAAGGTTCAATAACACGAGATTCTCGAAGTAGAATAAGAATTTACAGACCTCAATGCAGAAAATAAATTAGGATGATATAAATACCAATGTATCAAAAGCGTGAGGCGTGGGCAAGGCGTCCAAGGCGAAGCCCGGCCTAGGCGTGAGAGGCGAAGCCTCACGGGATTTAATTTTTTTATATATATATATGTTTTATATATTATACATATAATTGTATAAAAATAATACTACGTAAAATAAACATCCATTCTCAATTTTTCATTCAAATCCATAGTCATTCAAAAGATAATATCATCTAAATTCATCATTCAAAGGTAATATCATCCAAATTCATCATTAAAAAGGTAATCCAAACAAAGAAAACAATAAACATTCGATGCATGCATACAGTTAATGAACCAACAATTTATTAATTAATTTATATACCAACAATTTCCAACAATTTATTAATTAATTTATATACCCCTGTAGTCCTGACTACTTAAGCCTAACAATTTCCAACCTACTAGCACCTTCCACTAAATTTATAGCCTAACCTTCCGCAGAAAACCTTCCCCAGAAAATGCAGAGGCAGATTAATAAATTTATAGCCTAAACAAGGCAGCACGCAGAGGCAGCACGTAGAGGCAGATTAATAACTTTTCTGTCTAACTATTAACCCCTCTATTATAGCAAAACCTTCCCCAGAAAACTAAATCCCTAATTTCAGAATTTCAAAAACCCTAACCCTTGGGATCTTGCTGACGGCGCTGGGGCTGGGGTGACGGTGCTGGGGTGACGGCGCCGGGCTGATGGCGGTGTGGCGACGATGTTGCTCCAAGCGGTGGTGTGGCGACCGGACCAGTGTTCTGTGCTTCTGGGCTTCTGCCGCGCGGGAGAAGAAGAAGCAAGAAGGCAGAAGGCAGAAGGCAGAAGGCAGAAGGCAGAGGCAGACAAAGGCGATCGAATTCGAAGGTATGGTATGAAGACTGAAAATCCTTACCCAAACGGCATCGTTTTGGGTTTGGATGGTTTTCAAAAAAAAAAAAAAAGGGTCTGACAAGGCGGCTGGACGCCTTGAGGCGCGCCCCCACCGCCTCGGCATCTCCGGCGAAGCATTTCGCCTACTCCAGCAAAACTGAGGCGTTTGCCTCACCGCCCAGCCTCAAGGGCGCCCTAGGTGCACCCCGAGGCGAGTTCTTTAAAACATTGATAAATACACAAACAAATGACAAGCAAACATTACAAGTTTAATATAAGTAGAAGAAGGATGAACCGAGCAACAACCAAGGAAAATCCAAATGTGAAATATAAAATTATAATGATTCATCTTTAATCAAGAAAGTGCAGCATTACCTCGAGAAGGTCTCCTGCATAAGTAGTTGTTCAATTACATGCTTCTTGTTGCTCTTCCCTAGTGTTGCTGGGGGCTCCTTCT